CCGAAGGGAATAATGTTAGCAAACTCACAGAGCCACAAGCCAAAGGTCTGAAAGAGACAGAGGTTTCCCTTTTGTTCAATAACCTAGGCAGAAGTGCCACATTTCAGGGTGCTACATCTCAGCAGAACATTTTGAAGAGGGGAAAAGAAGAGGTACGGGGTGTGTTTGAAGGACAAAAAGAACAGAAATATTCATTTATGTCGCAGGAGACCACTGGGAAGTACTACAAATCAATACTGACCACTTGCAGGGGATATTCATATGATAAGTATTTATTCCTGCAGACATCTGGACATCTGAAGAATTCCCATTGCTGTGCCACAAAGCAGACTCCACGGAAACCTTTTACACATTCAAAATAGCTTTTAAAAATATTTTATATTCTAGGGAACTCTAAGTGCTTCACCCATAAAAAATAAGCCTTTCAAGTTGGCAGGGGAATGAACCCTTTCCAGATGGAGAACTTGATGCTGAAGGAGGTAAACTCACTTCAGCAGCCACGGGAACAACACAAGGCACAGCCAGGGGCTGAAATCGCCTCAAACCTGAAAATATTCTTAACTGTGCATAAAAGAGAATCTGAAAGTTGCCTGTGAGCTTACACCTGGCCCCAGTAGAGCTTCCTCATCAGCATTCCAAGCCAGCCTCAGAAAGCTGGAGAGAGAATCTTGCAAGCACAGGAAAATAGACAAATTTCTTTCCTTCAAGCCTAATCTGATGATTTAAATCTATCTATCCTAACGCCTCTCAGGTGTTCCAACCATTTTATGCCTTTTAAGAGCGCTTCTGCAGGGAGGTAACACTAGTAACTTCTCCTCTGATTAAACACATCTGCCACAAAATAGCAGGTGTCTTCTGGACACAATGAGATTCTCAGAAATTCTAGTAGGAAACTTGCAAAAGGTTTCGAATGCTCCTATACTGAAACACATTTTAACTTTTCTTAGATTTTGGAGATAAAGGGGGGAATGTTTGTGTACAATTCAATGTCTTTCAAACAAAGGCTTAAAAAATATTAATGGACTTGCTGCCTAAAACATAAAAAAGGAATTGAGCTTCTGAAGTTAAAACAGGGTAATTTTCAAAAAAGGTTAAAACCAGTATTCTCATAAAATACAAAATGAATACGTTTAAGGTTTGTTTTTAACTCATTGGTGAAGAAGCTAGTAAGATCTAATAAGCAGGAGAAAGATACTACAAAGGAGAATCCAAAGAGTAAACACACGTAGATCAGCGAGAGTAAATGAAGGTGTCAATGGCAGGCAGAAGTCAGATTTTCCACAGTGGCTAGGAAAGCCAGCTGAACCTCTGTGGGACAGAATTTACACATCCACAACAAGGATTATTCTGTATTGCTATCAGCTATCTACAATGTACGGAGTTGTAAAAACAGCTCCGTGGAATTAGATAGCCCCAAATGGTGTGCTATTGACGAGGCACAGTTTTTCACAGAAGCCCAATTTTTTCCCTGCACAGACCACTGACTGTCTTATTTATTTCTGTATTCCCCAAACCCGGTACAAGGTAGATGCTCCATAAATACCTGCAAATGGATAAATGTCTACTATGTATCAGGCGTTAAGCTAGGCCCTTCACGAGCATCATTCCATTTAATTCTCCCGACAACTCTTAAAATATTTATTCTCATTTCACTGATGAAAAACTAACTCGTGTAATATTGTATAGCTATTGCTTGTCAAAGGTTGGGGGTGGAGGACAAGCAGGGAGGATCACACTCAGGTCTGTGAAAGCCCTTTTTTCTTTTTTCCATTTAATATATGTCCTTTTTATTTGCTATCGCTGTACCATCTGCCTCTAAATTAAGGGACTGTTTATATGTTATACTGGTATAACACACTTGCTTGATAAGCATGATATTGGAGACCCACCCTTTAAGAAAAAGCAAAGGAACAGCAACACTCAAGAGGATCTAGGCATAAATAAGAGACAGGTGAGCATTTTTGTTGCAGCCTTGCAGATAAGCACAGGATATTTACCAGCCTAGACTACCCTCACCCTGCCACCCCCGGTTGCTCATTTCCCAGTTTTCAGGATAATAAAGACAGACGAATTCAACACTGTTTATGTGTGTTGTTTTCACCAAAATCAGAACAGCATTTAGGAGAACAGCAGCAGCTATTCAGAACAGAAGCAGCATTCAATGCATGCTTCCCAGGACCATGAACTCCTTCCACAGCAACACTATGAGGCAGGTACTGGTACCATCCTCTTTTTGCAGATAAAGAAAGCTGAAGGGCACCAGTGACCTTCACAAGATGACACAACACAGCTGCAGCTCTGGGCTTCTACCCGGCACCTGTCAGCACTGCCGGCCCTCACCCTCAGTAGTCCACTGTTTTTTGGGGGCTGGCGACATCTGCTCTGTTACCATAGGTCTTAATTTTTCACAGACCTCTCTGTCCTGCTTATCACAGCCTAGTCTCCAAGGGCACGGAGATCCCCACAGCCTCCAGCATCCTAGGGCTGGTCACCTCGGGCCAGCTGCAGTCCCGTCTATTATGACCACTTGGCGCTTGTGATCATTCAGGTATTTCACAGTCATATTTGGAGAGGCAAGGCCCAGAGAACAGGGGAAGAGAGTGGCTTTCTGACGCCTCATAGGTGAATGTCAAAAAGATGTGGGCCAATAGTTAATGTGAAATCATTCTCTCTGTTCCCTGAGTCCCCAATAATTTTCTGCTTTCCTTTCTGGCCTGAAAAAAGGCTGCCCTTAGAATGAAGAGTATGTTTTTAGACACATCCAGATGAGTCTTGACATGATAGCAAAATGCTGACATGTAGAAGGTGTCAAGAAATGGCCAACTTGGTAGTTTACTTAATATTATTTCATTTAGTCTTCATAACAACTCCTGCGGACAGGTAGTATTATCATCTTTATTTTGGAGATGAAGAGGGAGGTTAAATAACTCAACCAGCTAAAGCAGCTTGCCTGGGATTTCAAGAAGGTTGTGGTTTACCAGTATCAGTGGCATTTCGTGGAGACCAAATGTGCCACCAGAAGCAATGACAGGTGTATCTCATGTCCACACCCTCTTTCTTCAAGTCACTTAGCAGAAAGCCTTGGGAAGTGGTACCACTGACTTGGAGCACTGAAGCATGGGACCTTTACTTCTAAGGGATGTAATGCCCCTCCCTGACAAACCATTATAAATGCCTCCCTTCCCTCAAGGGTATCCCACAATGCCCGCCCATAAGAAAAGATAACACTACTTTCAAACAAGATCACGAATAAGGCTTTGCCTTTACTCTATCACACAGGCATTAAGAAACATTAAGCACACATTTTGGGATGAAGGCAACCATAATCAGCCAAATGGTTACTAACTGATTACTTAAGGGGTGGAAAAATGGACTCTGAGATGCTCTTGTATTGTTAAGGGAGGGCCAAAGAAAAAACAATTTGACACTTGGAATCTAAGCTAAGTTCTGACAGTGCCTTCAGAATTTCAGGAATTTCACCTAAAAAGCCATTTTATTCTACTTGGGGGTGGGGGGGAAGCAAAGTGAATTAATTAAGTACAATTTTAACACTTCACTCTCTGTTAACTACTCAGCCTGAGCTACACTTGGGTGTGCTCCTTAAATATTAAAACATTACCAATTTGGTCAGAAGGAATCTAGGAAAATCCAGCTCAGGATTTGAAAAATATTCTTTAGGGGCACCTAGGTGGCTCAATCAGTTAAGCGTCTGCCTTTGGCTCAGGTCATGATCTCACAGTTCATGAGATCGAGCCCCGCGTCAGGCTCTGTGCTGACATCTCAGAGCCTGGAGCCTGCTTAGGATTCTGTGTCTCCCTCTCTCTGCCCCTCCCTCGCTTGCGCTCTGTCTCTCAAAAATAAACATAAAAAAAAAAAGAAAAGAAAAATGTTCTTTAGTATTAGAAACCTTTTTTCCAAATGAAGTTTTTCGTATAATTCAAACATGTAAAACAGATATAAAGGGAGCTGGTTTAGTTGACACACTTATCTCTACCCAAAGCACACCCCATCCCGTTGGCAACCTTTAGCGCACCCAAGGGCTCCACGGAACACACTTTGAAAACCACCCGGTTTGGAAAGAGGCTTGGTATCCACAGTTCTGGGCTACTCAAGATCAAGTCACTTTCCCACTAGAGGATAGTCTTCTCTTGGAAAAGGGGAAGGATCTGGACTAGAATCAGGACTCCTCAACACGTTTTTCCTCTGAAGCGCAGTTTTAGTGCACAGAGCATGTTTTTCAGTCCTGTGTTTCATCACAGTGTTTGCAACGGGAGGGGGACAAGGGAAGGGACGAGGCCCATATTCATGCAGACCCTCAGGGTGGGAGGGGAACACAGGGGAAGTGTGAAGATGCCCTTGTTCGGATGGGCTCCCACAGCAGGCCCTATCGGCTTCTTCTCACCCAGGCTGTTCTCCAATCGAGAAACAGGATCCTAAGGGCTTTTACAGTTCATTATCCTGTCATGGTTTCTGCTTCCAAGTGTCTCTTGACCTTCAAATATAATACTCAGAGCCCCTTGATGTAAATGGAATCTTCATTTGTGCTTTGAAGGTATTCATCTCAGGGACTGTAAGTTAGTATTATCATATTCACCTCAGAATTTTCCTGTTTAGAAATCTTTCCTACTTAGAACATCAAATACTGATCCCACAAACCCAGATAATTTGGAAGACTTCCTTTCTTTTCTCTAGGATTGGTACACATTTTCTCTAGAGTCCCCACCCACCCCCTTAGCTTGACTCCCACATACTTGTACTGAACCTGCAGAATCCAAGCTTCTCTAGAACTTCTTATGCTTATTCAGTAGCATAGTTTGCATGGGTCTGGAATCCATTCTCCTTTTAAAGTAAGCAAACCCATGCCAGAAAATTTCAGCAGGGAGATGCAGTTCATTGTAAGGGTATGGGAAAGGCCACCGTGATGGGGAGAGAAAGAGGGAGTAAAATATTTTGGATGCCGCATACTTTACCAGTTATGTCATGCTGTTTGAATGACTCACTGTAGATCTGATACTGATTCGGACAATGTTTCTTCAACCACTTGCAGACATCCTGCTGAGTCCACAGAGCCACTGGTTTTGACAGCTTCACTGTAGCCGACTATAAATGAAGAAGGAAAAGGTTAATGTCAGCCCCATGTCCAGAAAGGCACTACTGTTAGAAGTCCTAGAGGGTGTGGTCAAGGCTACTGGCTGGAATCCCTGAAGGTAAGTATCTGGCTCTTTTCCTCCTAACCTCTATAGACCTTTTCCACACCCATGGAAACCAGAAGAAAAGGTCTAGGTGGAAAAGGCCATGAAAATTATACTTATTCTCAAGTTATCATCTCCACTGGAAAAAGTCCCCAGGAAGTAGTGTTTTCTGACAAACACTTCAACAGTAAGACAATGCTGTTGCTAAGCATTTAATTAAATTTTAGGGGTGAAATAGCTGCCCCCAAGTGGCCTTTCTTTGTATTCCACAAAAGTGTCCATTTTGAGATCTCTAGGGTCTAGTGCAACACTAGCCCTGGCAGGTGCTAATAATTATTTCAGGAACGAATGTTATTGGATTTAGATATCTACGTACTAAAGAGTGCACACTGGCCTGGGAGTGGTCCTGTAAAGTCTAGGAATTAGTTATGCCACAGTGGGGAAGCAAAAAGTCAATTCTGCCAGCATGTAGAGAATGGTAATAAGATAATGGGGTGGCTAAACCTGATGTAGAAGCCAACTAATTAAGGCCTTTTATTGCTCAACAGATCTTTCAGGAAGGGGTTTATGAAACAAAACAAAGGTGTGTTAGGACCTAACCTTTGACAGAATTAATTCATTCATCAATTAATGTGCATCAGCTCTGTGCCAGATGCCCATCTTCCTCATGGATCCTAACAACTTGGCTGGGACAAGATGAAAGCTTAGTTTTTAAAAAATTTTTATCAGTATTTGTCAAAAATCTAGGATTGTAATATAGAAAAATCTTTAAAGGATATTGGGTAGCACCCAGACCTGGTCAATGTCATTGACCTTCTCACTAGGGATCATTCACTTTTACTTCTCTTTCAATCTTTCAGATTAAGGCAAAAAGAGAGCCTCAATTTTGTAGGACTGTGATTTAATATCTTTGAATACCTGCTAACATTTCTGACAAAGAGGGCATGCTTTGCCATTACAACCTTCATCAGAAAGCAACACACCTAGCGACTGTTCAATTTTATTTTTATTATATTTAAGGTTACTTTTGTATTATGGCAAATAAAGGCAAAAAAATTTTTATTTTCAGTAGTAATATCTAGTTTGCTTTTATTTATTTTTAGTGTTTATTTTTGAGAGAGAGAGAGAGAGAGGAAATATAAATCTGAAGCAGGTTCCAGGCTCTGAGCTGTCAGCACAGAGCCCAACGTGGGACTCAAACCCACGATCTGAGAGATCATGACCTGAGTCAGACACTCAACTGACTGAGCCACCCAGGTGCCCCTAGTTTGCTTTTAAAACAAATTTGAGTTTAAAATTTTTTTTTTTTTTTAACATTTATTTATTTTTGGGACAGAGAGAGACAGAGCATGAACGGGGGAGGGGCAGAGAGAGAGAGGGAGACACAGAATCGGAAACAGGCTCCAGGCTCTGAGCCATCAGCCCAGAGCCTGACACGGGGCTCGAACCCACGGACCGCGAGATCGTGACCTGGCTGAAGTCGGACGCCCAACCGACTGCGCCACCCAGGCGCCCCAAAACAAATTTGAGTTTAAAAACCGTTGGTCAATTAAAAAAATGAAGGGAATGAACAGTGATATAGATGGTAACAAGATACTAACAGAAGTCACATGCACGTGATTCACATTTGTGAAACACAGTGCTCAGGTGTTTCTTTTTTCTGTTAGTATATTTCCAATAGGATTCTTTGGGCCATGACTTACAAAATCATCACAAGCAATAGTTTTTACTTTATGCTAATTTACTTTATAATTTTTTTTCACTCTTATTGTGGTAGATTATATTTCTCAAGGATGACTTTCTACATGTACATATATACACATCCGTACACATATATCTGTTCTTTATTCATTGTACTTGATATTCCTACACTGATATTTGGGGTTGATGTTCTTTTTCCTTGAATTTTGGCAAGGTCTGTAGTGGTTCTGGCCAGTGGAGCACAGTGGAATTGATTGACTTCTAAGGCAAGGTCACCAAAAAGATACAACTTCTGCCTGGCTCATCCTCTTTGGCATTCAGCTTTGGAACCCAGCGACATGCTGTGGGGAAGCTCAGACCACGTGAAGAGATGATGTGTAGAAATTTTGGCCAATCCCCAAACTGATGTTTCAGCTGATAGCCAGCACCAACCAACCATCAGACAAATGAGTCAACAAGTTGCAGATGATTCCAGCCATCAGTCTTTGAACCTTCCAGCTGAGGCTCCCAGACACCAGGATGCAGAGACAAGCCATCCCTGCTGTGCCCTGAGTGAATTCCTGACTCGCATAATCCATGAGCATCATAAACCATTGTCTTTCATCACGAAGTTAAGGTACCATGTTCTATAATGCTAGTAACAATTACAATACTAAGTTATATGCTGGTGAGGATAGATGTGTTACAACTGTGCTCTCAGAATGCCCTGCATTTAAGAGATGCTATGCAGCCATGATGAATAAGTGAATGGATTAATGAAATGAACCCAGCAGTGAATTTCAAGCATAGCGTTTTGCTGCTTTCCACCGACTGTGTCTTGCTCCCACGTGGCTCCTAGTCAAACGTGTCAGCCTCTTCCTTCCACACCCCATATCCCTGAGTCACAGGCTGCCCACCATGGTCCCTCTAAGCTCCGTATGCACCCGTATCAATTGTTCTAATTTTGATGAGCGAGGAGGGCCTCTGGGGGGGTTGGTGCAAATGAGTTAATGTTTTGTTGTTTGGTTTCTTATTTGCTCGTCATTCCCTCTTTTCCTTTCCATGATGAGGAAACTAGAATTTTGGCTCTTTTAGCTAGAAATGCACTACCATCATGTTTTACAAGTCTGAATCTGGCTCTTTCCTGCTCTAAAAATTTTTCTGCAGATTAACTGAATGAGTTCATAACTGACACATCATTACCCTGAAACCCTTTACAAGTTTACTGCAGGTAAAGCTAATCACATCTTTTGAAAACTCCTTTAAACCAATTATAAGACAGCTGTAAATTAGGAAGGGAAAGACAAGAGGGTGAAGTTGCTTATATATCAATATACTAAATTTCCTGGAAGAGCACCTTTAACTTGCTCATTTCTTAGGAAACAGAGGCCCCTTGGCACAAAGTAAAGCCCCCTCAACTGGGCTTCAGGTCGAGATTAACCCATACATGCCAAGTGAACTCAGGATGCATCCCCATCAGCCCCCAAGTATGCTTTTGTTACAAATTATCCCTTTGTCATAAATTTGGGTGTTCTGAGGCTAACATGCAAGGAGGTGCCTTGCTTTTCCTTCAGAATATACTCTTACTAAGCAGTAATTTGGTATCACTTGCTTGGACGACAATACACTCGATGCTTTAGGCACAGATTTTTAAGAGTGCAGGAACCTACATGGATCTGCCTCCATGTCAACTGGCATAAATAAAATGGGGAGGGATAAAGATTCCTATTGTTGGGCAATTGCTTGTCTCTTCTTAGATAGTGATAAAAGCACTGGCCCCATTTATTAGCCAATTCTTAGCCTTGGCTTTATTATGGAATTATTAATTTGCCACACATTAGTTGGTTAAGAGCTATAAAGACTCCACTTCCCTCAGTATCCAGCTGCTTATGGATTCTCAGAGCCGACTTCATTTTTTCTGCCTGAACTGCTCTTTGCACAGCACCCGGGTGAACTTCAGTCACTTCTCCCATCACGATTACCCCATCCCCAGTAGCAACCACATTTTGGAAGTGAATGCCATAACCTAACTCTTTTAAAGAGCTTACACTTCCATGTGTCATTTGGAACAACAATGAGCATATGTCAGACCCATGTCAGTCTACTTACCGCATCGTCCCACTGGGAGGTACAGAGTTGTCAAACCTAATAGCTCCATGGTGATGTTTCAACCGCCCTCCTTTGCTCTGCTATACTCACAGCTTACATGCAACTCCAGCCCCAAATTTTCTGATATGTTGTTTCCCTCTCCCCACCCCTGGTGGGAGCCAAATCCAAAACAGTTCACAAAACAAATCAATAGTATTTCATATTTATTAGAAATAGTAATTAAAAAAAAAAAACCCGAAACACCTATCCTGCCGAAAGGCAAGCATTAAAAAAAACATTTGCCCCAGTTCCCTTTCTCTGGGCTCAGGTCTGCCATACCATTCTCCAGGATTTACAGCCCCGGTGATGATTTTAGTTTGTTTTGTTGCCCTGAAAGGAGCCGGAGGCAGTTTGTTATCTTAACTGCAAGCTTTGTGATACCAAACAGAATTCCAGGCATTTCCTCTCCGAATTGGTCCTGACCTTGCTGTAGAGATGCTGAAAGTGCACTTCAGACGCTTTTAGGGTCTATTTTACAAGGAGGCCTCACTTGATGCGAAAGACACACCCTTGAGGGAAAATCTGTTTGCAAATTACTTTTGGCAAATGATTCCTCACCTTTATTCAACAATTTCAGTCTATAGTTCTGGTTTGCGCTAAAATGGAGAAAACTCTTCAGTTTTAAGTTCTTTAAGGTAAACTGGAAGCTTTTCTAAGTTACAAAATAATTAAATGCTTTAAAGAAGCAGCTTGATAGTGAAAGAACATATTACAAAATGCTTTTCAAGTTAAATTTTGTCATTTGATTATCCCTCAACTTACTTGTTTTGTAATGGAAAATCTCTTTAATTTACTAGGTTTTGATTTATAAGAGAACACTACAACCTAAAGCTCCCAATGGTTGTATACACTCAACTAGGAAAGCTTACACAAGGCCGAGCGGGCCGACAGGGGAAAAAGTAGGCACCACGTAGATTGCTGATATGTACTGGCAGGTCGGAGTGACTGTTGTGCCCAAATATCAGCAAGGGGCAAACACATCTGCAGCATCTCATTATAAACAGGTGTTTGCAAGCTCTCAACATTGCCTCTTCTCTTAACCAGCCTGCAGTGATTTTCCTTTAGATGCTGGTCTCCTCT